CATTGCAAAAGAACTGTGAGCTCAAAGCAAAAGAGCTGTGTCTCATTACTGGTTACTTTGGAGGCATCCCAAATCCCTTTATATACAGCTAATGTTTCCTTTTCAGTCAGAATATAGTAATCTTTAGACCCTTTGTACACTCAACTCCAGAATCCAAGGGGTTGGCCTCAGTTCTCTCCTGAGACTCTTTGCCAAAGATTCCAAGTGGGGCATCTCTCTCCAGCACCAGTGTAGACTATATTTTTTACATTCTGTCCCATCTACATTAGCCCCAGGGCCACAGTATGAGCTATCTCCTGTTTAATTTGCCTGCAACTCAGTATAGGTGACCAATAACTGTTTTTCAATTATGCTATACCTCTCTCCTGCACAATGCCAGAAATGAGACCAGAACCAGGGGGGGTCAAATGGAATTTTTGGCACTGCCATAGGCTCCAGCCAAACCCGTCCCAAGTTACATGGACATCTAGTTTGGCTGGAAAGGTAGGATCAAATATATCCAACACCTAGGCCTGTTTAACATTAATATTCTTGCTGGAAGGCCTCTTTCTCCATTCTCCCCCAGCCCCATTTCTGGCCTTTATTTTTGGCCTCAATATAAAGGTCTCAGCAGCTGTGCCGAGTATAAAGGTATGCCAGCATCCCAGTATAGTCTGAAGTTTTTGCAGCTTTCTTGGTGTGGTAGAGGCTGGGAATGCCTGAATCTTGTCTGTTATTGCACTGGGTAGTACTTGGGGCTTTCTCAACCAAACTACATCCAGGAATTTCAGTGACAACCCCAGCCCTTGCACCTTACATGGGTTTATAGCCCACCCTCTCTTGTAAGTAGGTAGTCAGTGGATTTCTTTCTTAATGCTTCCAGTGAGTCAGACATCAACATAATATTATCAGCATATTACAGTTTGATGTTATTGGGTTTATTCCAATCTGCTAGGTCATGTCATGACCTACTGGCACAATACATAGGTGAGTGCACGTACCCTCACAGCAGGATCTGAAAGGTCCACTGCCTGTCAGTGGCAGTGAAAATGCAAAATGATCTTGTAATTCTTCATATATGGGAATACTGAAGAATGCATTTGCCAAGCCTAGGACACAATGGGAGGTTTCTACCTCCCTACTCAATGTGTCCATCAGGGAGGCAATATTGGGTACAACTGCATAAATGAGCAGCATGACCTTATTCAATTCTCTGTAATCCACTGTCATTCTCCACTGCTGTCTGATTTTTGTACTGGCCATATGGGGGAGATTATATCAGCTATGTGCAGGCCTTATGATTTCTACGCTTTCTAGTTCCTGCACTGTTCTTGAGATCTTCTCTTGCAACCCCCGGAGTCTATTTTGTATTAGTAATCTTCCAGGTGAATAGACTCATGTTTTGCATGGCCTCTTAATGTGCCTTGTACCACTCAGATACTAACACATCTCTTAGTCTAAAATCTCCCACAATCACCTGAATAGTCAAACGCCATAGTATGTCTATGCCCAGTATATACTCTGGGGCTGAGCAATAGACACCTCATACTCCTGTCTGAACCCTTCTTTGTTTTTGGCTCAAAGCTTACTTTCCAAGGCATTTCTTGCAGTAAGACTCTGACTTACCTAGGAGATGAGAGGTGGATGTTGCCAGCATCACTGTGTGGGCAATTTTAAACTTGAAAGCATTTCTTTGGAATAGTTTGTCTCCAGAAGAGAGTGCTCAGGTCTGTTCACTGGCAGAAGATCTGGGCTATGACCAGATAACTCCAGCTCAGTATGGGAAAATTGGGGAATGATATCATCATGTCCTGTGAAAAATAGGATGCAGGAGGGCACCTCCCTGATACCTCTCATTTGCTGGCAAGACCCATTTAGATGGGAACAAAAGAGTTTCTCCTGAGATCCCAAAACCAGAATCTGCCATTCCAAAGAGAGCTGACTCAAACACTTGGATTTGAGCTGTCACTCCAAAGAGAGCTGACTTGACAACTTTGGACTTATAAATAAGTTTGTACTGCCATCAGAAAAAAACATTAGTCATTGTCATCAACCAAGCAACAATGCCTGACACCCATCACTACTGAAAATCAACATCTGACCTATGAACCACGCTGAAAACATGGTGGTGACTAACTCCCTCTTGCTTCTTACAAAGACTTCTTGCTTTATTTCCTCTCTCTTTTCTGTCACTCACCTTCCCTGTCTCCCTAAACAACTAGGATTTGTAATAATTGGTCAGGCTAACATTTGACCCATTGTGTCTTAATCTCATCGTTGGTAATACATATATTAAAAGAACCTCCTCTTCCTCCTATAAATTAGAGAAAGACAAGTCCTGTGGTGGGAGACACCCAACCCTCAACTTCAACCATGTCTGAATTACAAGGATTGTCTGTAGCCCAAGCCCAACAATCATCACCCTATATCCATGGAATTTAGTTGGATCACTATAAATAATCGAGTTTCTGTGCCCATGTCTACTACTGCCATCACACACTGTTTTCCAGGACCAAAAAATAGTCAGGTCAACATAGGGCAGCCAGTCCCATCTGCAGGCCTTAAGTGCAAGGGGGTTGGCATTCCCCATCATGCAAGTATTTGCACAATTGACAGTTTTTTCTTCGGGTGGCATAGGCATAGAGGCCCAGGTAACTTGAGGAGGCTTTTTCCTTTTGTCAGGAACTATAAAAATCTTGCAAGTTCCATGTTCTTGTTTGTACTTGCTCAATTATTTTTATCCCTCCTTTTGGGGGGTTTTGAAGGTTTTAATGTCCTCCCCATTTCCATAGCTGGAGGAGGACATGATTGGACCAGGGGTCAATTTTTGCAAATCGAAATTCAGCCAGATTAAATCACTGAACATCTGTTTTTCAGAATACCTGTACAGATCCTGATTGAGATGTCTGCAGGACAGGCCTCCTACCTTTAGCTGTAAGGAGGACCTCTGCCCCTTCCAATGTCCTGATATTGCTCCTGGTCCTCAGACACTCCATTTCTCCTAGATCAGCCACCAATTGGGAAGCCTGTTGAATGATGGCCTCCAAGGCTACTACGGGGTTAATTGTAAACACTAGTGTGCCATGCTAGTAGGAAGAAGCTTGTCGTAAGATCAGGTCCCTTATCCCTGCTGAGAACTTAACCAGGTCTGGACTCTCTAAGATGTCACCATAAATCACTTCCTTCATTCCCAATTCTCTGATGTAATTTTGAAGTTTCTCTACTCAAGTCTATAGACCAGTATTAACTGGGACATTAGTTTCATTTGTTCATGTGAATCTACACACAGCCATTATCCTTCAATTTAGAGAATAATTTTCCTCATGTATTACAAACATGTATAATATTTGCGGGCTGAATGCTTGCTGACGGATGCAAGTTTAGAAATCTCCAGACCATTAATAAAAATACTCCCGGCCCCCATATCTCATAGACTAAAGAGCCAAGCTGGTATACTGTCACATTTTCTGTTTAAATCACCGTAATAAATCCATGAGTTTGGCCACCATAAGTGCCATGTGTAAGAAGGCAGTATCAGCAGGTGGCCACTCCTCACGTGGCAACCCCTCTGGCCTATCCTGGACTTTCTTGGTTTTTGAGGGGTAATTACTGGCCTTCCTAGAAAATCTGAGGTTCCTGGATCATCTGGTTAGGCTTTTGCCTTCTTGATTTTCCTTTTATTTTTGGATTCAACCAGGATCCAAACGTCTTGTTGATCTTAGTTCTTTTCTCCTCTAATGATTTATTTCTTAGTTTTAGAAGGGAAATACCATTTGAAAATGGGCAGTTCACATTGACAAATATAATTTTGTTTTCCAATTGATTGATACAGAGTATTAGGGGCTCTGGTGACCAGCCAGAATATAATTATTTTAAGATAATGAGCCCTAAGTGGGTACATTACTATTGATCCTGCCCAGTTTGCCCAGTGTAATGTGATAAAAGCTCAACAAGGCAACAGAGCAGCAAGGTCCCAGGCTGCAGTAAATGGAAAACCACTCAGAAGTGGGTACAGAAACAAGAGAAAGAAACCACTTACCTTCTGAAGGCCTGTAAGGTTCTCAGGTAAGCAGAGATCACTAAATGAGATACCCTCACATCCACTGCCAACCCTTAAATGAAGTCTGGGAAGAGTAGATCCTGGCTGCACCCCTTCCTGTCATTCAGGTACATTGCATACACCTGAGCTCCCCTGTGTTGGCCCCGCCTTCCTACCAGGTGCTCAATCACTGGTTCAAGCCATGACTTAACATTACAGTCCACCAAGCTAGAAACAATTCACCCTTATGCTGCCAGTCTATATATACCTGAGCTTCTTTCAGTACTAGTGGCCTGATATACCTGCTGGTTGTTTTGATGTTTCTCAGTAAATGACTCTTGGGTATGTGAGCATCTATTGATGTACCGTTACAATTATTTTCTCTATCTGGGCAGTAGTATCTTTCCACAGTGCAGCAGCCATGATGGGTTTGCCTCTGTGCTGCCAGTTGTTCTACTTGCATTGCTACAACTAGCCCCACAGGGCATTTTCCACCATCCAGCAGTTAGGTAGAGGTAGATCACTGTCCACTTCTCTTGTTCAGCAATGCCTAAAGCTAGCAGGATGGCCTTCACTTCTGCAATTTTTGTTGACTCACCCTTCAGCAGCTTCTGCAATTTGTCATGTAATATTCCATACAGCAGCCTTCCACCTCCACCTTTACCAGAATGCAACAGGATCAGTCAGTGAATAGGGCATATTTCTTCTCATTTTTCTGGCAGTTTCTTAGATAGTGGAGTCTCTTTAGCATGTGTCACCTCATCTTCTGGCAATATTCCAAAATCCATAATCACTTCTGGCTTTCTGCCAGAGGCTTCAAGTAGGGCCATTCTCCCCATCTTCAGTGCAGAGTACATTTTTTATACCTTGTCCTGTCTGGTCTGGCCAAGGACTGCTGCATGAACTATGTCCTGTCAAATTTGTTCAAAGACTTGATGCTGCTCAGGGCTCCATGTGAAACCATTATTCAGAAAAACTTGATAGAAAAGGTTTACAGTCAGTCACTAATCCAGAATATGCATTCTCCAGAAACCCACAACACCTAAGAAAGCTTGTGTTTACTTTTTACTAGTTAGTGCAGGCATAGCAGTTATTTTACTGATTACATCTGTGGGGATCTGATGATGTTCATCTTACCATTTTATTCCCAAGAACAAGATCTCCTGGGCAGGTCCCTTGACCTTAGTTTGCTTTATGGCAAAACCATTGTTTAAGAAGGATATGAATTATTTTCTTCACTTTGTCAAAAACCCCCTCTGCTGTGTTGTCCCACACTATGATGTCATCAATATTTTGTATGCACTCAGGAGCTGCCCCCTGTTCCAGTGCAGTCTGGATCAGCACATAAGATTGTGTTTCCACCTCTGAGGCAGTCAATTCCATGTGTACTGTGCACCCCTTCAAGTAAAAGCAAACTGTGTTCTGCGCTCTGCTGCCAGAGGGAGTGAGAAAAACATATTAGTGGTGATTAGTGGTGTCAGTTGTAGCATACCATATGGCTGCTTTTGGCTTGTGTTGGAGTTCTAGAATGTCTGGCACAGCAGACTTCAGTGACTTCATTCACTGTCAGCTTCCACTCTTCACTGGACTTTTGCACTGACCACTGGGACTACTGAAGGATGAGCATATCTTGCTGATGAATCCTTGGTTCTCCAGTTGGTGAATCAGCTGATGAATGGGAATTAGGGAGTCCTGATTGGCATGACATTGCTGTTGGTGCACCGTTGTAATAGCAATCAGCATTTGCTGTTCTTCTAGTATTAGCAATACCACAACAGAAGGATCTTCTGAGAGTCCAGGCAAGGTAGACAGCTGCTTAATGTCCTCCATCTCCAAGGCAACTGTTCTAAAAGCCCACTGATACCTTTTTGGGACCTTGAAGTACCCTCTCCTGAGATAATATATACAAGTATGCACAGAGCCTCTGGGCCCGTTGCAGTAGGGGTGCTTTTGTCAATCATTTCCTCACTTAGGCCTTCAATACAGTTAACTCCTGGGATCCCCATCACTCCAGAAACACAAATGGATTTTACCCCTTTATAGCTTGATAACATTAGACTACTTTGTACACTGATATCCACTAGATTCAGAACCACAGAATCACTATTTCTGTGGTTCTGATGTGCCAAGCCACCAAATCCACCACACAGTACAGCAAACCCAATTGTCCCTTTCCTCCACCTGGCTGGAAGGAGGGCTCCTCTAGTTCTGCTTATTATATTCATTACTCATCTCTTATATATGAGAAGCAGAAGGCTTACTGTCAAACTCTGACATAAGATTAGAAGATCAACTCCATTTGGAAACTGTAAACTTCTCTTGTGATTGTTTTCCCTTGCAACACATGCAGATATGCCTGTATGATTGAGGTGGGTTTTCAACCCACTTCCTCATATCATCTCCATGATCACACAGGTAGAACCACAGGGTGGCACATGGTGTGTACCGTCCAAGTCTTCTTTCTTGAGCAGAAGCGCACTTACTTCTATTGAGATATTGTTTTTTACAGATGGGGAGCAAGACATACTGTCTTTAAACTTCTGGAACTGCTGGGACAGTTTCTCATAGCCAAGGCACAGGCCCATGGGGAGGAAGAGAGACTGTCTTTATACTGTCGAGGTAGGTTAACCACTTCATTCACCATTGGTCTTTCATTATCTTTCCAGTTCATTCCTTACAGGATACTGGAAAGGTGATGCTCTCCATGCAACTCTACCACACTGATTGCACATTCAGCATGTCATCTGGATCTTGGCAGTCGGTACTATCGTCCAGGTTAGTTGTATACATAATTTCTACCACAACTAGTTCCCTCAAGTACTGGATACCTTTCTCCATGGTGGTCCATTTGCATGGGTTACATACCAGGTCTTTCTTGAAGGGATATCTTTCCCTCATGGCTGAAAAACTTGCTGACATAAGGTGAAAGACCATATCCCTTTTCCAATTGCTTTATCAAAACCACTTTCCCTAGAATGAAATTCCAGCTGCTTGGCTTCACTGCCTGCTAAGTCCAGGCTACTGGCTCCACTATTCTGGCACTGGTGCAGGCAGGTAGCAGTGTATTCACCTGGCTGACAGCCGTAACCTCTTTGCAAATCTCATGGTGCACTAAACATTAGGAGTCAGACATCTTCTGTCTCTTCCTCCTCCTCCCGCTTTTGTGCAGATAGCCCTGCTCCATCTTCTTCTTCTTCTTCTCCTAATTTATAAGCTTCTCTCCTTGCTAAACATTCTGACTTTTGTAGAAATTTTTTCATCTTGTTTAGAGGGGCCACTGATAATGGCACTGGTTTGTTCTTTGGCTGAACTGTGGGGCTTGTCACAGGGAGTGACCACAGGCAACTGCCAAGCCCTGTCAGAAAGGATAGAGTAACCACAAAGTCTGTCAAAATGTCAGAGCAACCACGGGACCCAGGGGTTGGAGCAGCTGTGAGACTCGTTGCAGGAGTTGGAGCAGCCACGGGGCTCTACCTCTGGACACAGTCTATCTCCTCTTGGAGGAATTTTTTTTCTCATCACAATACTTGGAACAGCTACAGAGTTGAAAGCAATCACTCATCAGAAGAGTTGGAGTGATAGTAGGGTCTGTTGCTATGCTTGCAGGAACCACAGGACTTGTTTCAGAACTGGAGATACCACAGGGTCTGTCAAAGGAATTAGAGGGTCTGCTACATTATCATCAGATACAGAAGTATTCTCTTCCCCTTAAAAATGGTTGTCTTAATTTCAGTTGGGATGGAATTATTTTCTTCAGAATAGCTGGTATGATGCTATGTTATGTTTCTCGGACATGATTGTCAACATTTTGGCTTGCCTGGACCATGCTGAATGAACACAAATTGCCTTGGGCTACATATAAAACACAAAATAATTCTAATGTATTTAAGTAACAAAGCTTATTTTTTAATGTAGTTTTTATTAAAACATAAAAATCAGAGAGTAGAAAAACATAAAACTCCTGGGATGCTTGACCTTGTTTTTGTGGAACTAATGCATCAGGCTGGTTCACTGGCAGTAACAGCCATTCTTAGTGAGCTCTCAAGGTGTTCATCAGAGATTTTGGATGAAATATTATTCGTCATGTACGTCATCCTTGACAAATACTCTTCACAAATGTACATACATCCAAAAAGTGATGACATGAATAAAGTGTGACTGTGAAGCAAAGGATATTTTTCTCTGGTGGGAGAGGGCTTACAAAAGTCTGGTAAGGAGACATGATGAAGTTTTTAATTGAATTTAGTGTCTGGTTGCAACTCTATATATTCCATGTGAAAATCTGCAAGTAATGTATTTATGTCAACTGAAAATGGAGTCAGAAATATACAAAAAAAAAAAAAAAAAAGATTCTTTTTGTTATCTTGAAATCTGTTCTCAAATTTATTTATCAAAATGGAAAGCACGGCTACATATTTTTCAGTGTCCAGAGGACTGCGTTTAGCCAATGTATCAAAATGCATGAAATTATTTGTTATAACTTGAGCTTGCCATAATGTAAGTTTAATTTCAAACAGTGTTCATGTCTGAAACATAGCACAGATAAGGTCATTTTCACCATGAAGATGTATGTTTAACTCATTTAAGTGAGCATACAAATCCACCAAAAATGCTAAATCTGTGAGACATCTTTAGTCTTCACGTTCTCGCACAATTTCTGCCTTTCATTCCATAAAGGACTTGATCTCATTTTGTAAATCATAAAGTCTTTTTGGCATGTTAGCCCTTTAGCCACCTTCCTTCAGAAAAGCAAATGATGACCCCATAATCAGCCTCCATACTTTTAAGGAACAAGAATTGGTACAGATCCCTTGGACTTTATGAAGTTCACATCTTTGACGATTTCCATGATATTATTCATTTTTAAAGCTTCTGCACATAATTTTTTTTCAGTGACTGTTGCAGTGACATTTCATCAAACATAAGCTGGTAATTGCCTCATCTTCTATTAATTTTATAAGTCCCTCTTTTTTATCAACCATTACCAAGGCACCATCAGTAGCTCTACCAGATATGTTGACAAAGATTAAAGAAAATTGCTTTAATGTATTTTTTTACTGCTCCATACAAATCACAGTGCCATAGCGTTTGCCAACACTGCACTGCACTCTCCCCATGTCCAAGGGTTGGGAAGTCTGCTTGGCAGGGCTGAGCTGCTGCATTGATGGCTAGGCAGAAGGGGATGTGGGCTGCACTGTAAGCCTCCCATGGGTTGGACATGCCTGTTCTGGAAGTAAAAGCAGTGTTGATAATATGCCAGAGTTATAGTTGCCTGCTAAGCCAAGGCCATTCACAGTGTAGGGCCCAAGGAACTGGGAGGAAACAGAATTAGGACAGTCGACTTACTGGCTAAAGGGATATCGCATACCATATGATATTGTGTAGAAGGAGTTTTGAAGGGGATGGGAGTTCATCTCACTCTCTTTCACTGCTTGAGGGGCAAGCTGTGCATCAGTTGGCGGGCAGAGAGCAATTAATGGTGCATCACTTGTTGTACACATCACTTGTTTTTATACTGGCATAGTCAAAACTATTTTCCTTTCCTCTATCTTAGAAAATAGTGGTTCTTGGTACGTTTGGATCTGAGAGACAGGATGTCTCAGCAGCAGAGGCAATCAAGTAGGCACTCAGGGCAGCTTGGAGGTTTATAAGTTTTATTCAGCACACACACACAGGCATACACTTAGATAACCCCAGTAAATAGCAAGCAGAAACTCTGTAAGCACAATATTACTTACCAACCCTTGAGAGATGTACAAAATGCTAAGCAGGAAGAGGAGAAACATGCCAGCAGTGGATTCAATAGGTAGTGTCAATAGACCATCCCCTGATTCAAAGTGCACTTTTCCTCTTTCCCCCACTGCACCCTCTCTCCTGCTTCTATTCTCTCCCAGGGTCTGCAGGGTTTTTTCCATTTGCACACTATACCTGCACGGCCAGTGCACGATACAGAGCCCAGGTGAAACTCCTGCCTGCAAACAAGCTCGAACAACTGCTTGCAAAATAAGATAAACTGGCAAGGAGAGCTCCCTACAAAAAAAGATAAATTGCTGTAGCCACAAATACTGCTTCTCCTAAAAATGTCATGCAACCCATGGTTCTAGTGCTATAGCCATACAGTTACGTTCTTCCTCAGAATCCTTTTTCCAACTCAGGATCATTCTTTGGTCAGAACTTCTAGGTGTCTGATACAACAGTTTTCTCTCAATCCATGAGTTCTACTTTTTTTTTTTAATTATTATTCTCTCCCCCATCACACTGGCAAACAGCATAGTGAGTGAGTGCTGCTGAGCCACCTGACAGGCTAAATCACAACAATGCCTAATAGTACTTGTATGGGAACTGTTAAGCTACAGCCTGAACTGCTAATTGAACACCTAGGGAAAGGAACTAATCAGCTCTGAGAGCACAGGTGAAGGCAGTTCAACTATCTGACCAGAGGAGGTGGAGCCTGGCTGCACCTCTCTTAGCCGGCATTTAAGGGCTGACTGCAGTGGAGGAGAATATCTGGTTGGAGATTCCTCCATTGTGGAATTTTCCTTGTGGGCTTAGATCTTTGGAGATGGGTGAGCAATTTTCTTTTGTAACACTGTTCCATTTATACTAGTCCTTTTACTATTATACTCCTGTATTGCCCTTCCACTGCATTGACCTTTGGATTGTAACCTCATTAAGCTGCATACTTCAGATAAATATCATCTTCTCCCAAGAGTAAATGTTGGGTCTCAAAAACTGATTGAACTGTTCTGCTTGCCCAATAGGATATTCCATTGAAGATTTCATGTCCTTTTAAAAACTTCTCATCTCTTTGCTAGTAAGAGGGGAGTTTACATACCCTATATGTAACTCAGGAGTGGGAGTACTCAAATATTGCGGTTTGAGTGGTAACGGATGCCCTGGGCTTGGAGTGGGATCACAGGACACTAAAATGGCACTTGAGTCACAGGATAAGAGAACTCTAATTGGTAGATCAACCTCAATGGGATTCTAAGTCAAGTGCCTGTACACCAATGTGTGGAGCACAGGGATCAAGCAGTAGGAGTTGCAGGTGTGTGTGTGCCTACAGCGCTATGATGTCATTGGCATCACTGAGATGTTGTGGGATTATTCTCATGACTGAAATGTAGGAATAGATGGGTATAAACTCTTTAGGAAAGATGGACTGGGGAGAAGAGAAGGGAGTATTACCCTCTACAACAATGAATGCCTGGAGTCCATGGACCTCTGGCTGGGGATAGACAAGGAGCTGAGAGAGAGCTTAGGGCTAGGGTTAAAGGAAAGGCAAGGGATGGAGACGACATAGTGTGGGTCTGCTACAGGCCACCTGATCAGGAAGACCAAGTAGATGGTTTCATTCCCGAAACGTATTCCTCTCGGGGAACTTCCTCCACCTTGATATTAATTGGAGGGACAACAGAGAAGTGCACCAGAAATTGAAGAGGTTCCTGAAATGCATTGATGTTAACTTCCTTTTCCAAGTAGTACTGAAACCCACAAGAGAAGGTGCTACACTGGGCCTTGTTCTCATCAACAAGTAGTGATGTGAAGCTAAAGAGCAGCCTTGGCTGCATGGAGCATGAAATATGGTAAAGTTCAAAATCATCAAGATATTGAAGAGGGTGCACAGCAAGCTTGCTACCCTGGACTTCAGGTGAGCAGACCTTGAACTCTTCAGGGAACTGCCTGGCAATGTGACATGGAAGAAAGCCCTGGGATGAAGAGGGGCCCAAGAAAGCTGGTTGGTATTTAAGGACCATCTCTTCTAAGCCCAGAAGCAGTGCATCCCAAGAAAAAGGAAGGCAGGCAAGGATGCCAGGAGGCCTCCATGAATCAAAAAGGATCTCCTGGGCTTACTCAGGTGCAAAAAGAAAGTCTAAAGGGAGTGCAAGCAGGAACAGGTTACCTGGGAAGGCCACAAAGAAGCTGTCTGAGGAGGTGGGGATCAGGTTGGAAAAGCTAAAAGCTGGTTAGGATTAAATCCGGCCAGGGCCATTAAGGGGAGCAAGAAGGTATTTCAGTAATAAAAAGAAGAACAGGGAGGATGTGGGCCCTCTCCAGAAGGAAACTGGATACATAGTCACAAGGTAAGCTCAGATACTCATTGATTTCTTTGCCTCAGGTTTCACCAGCGAGGGGTCTAGCCACACCACCCAAGCTGCAGAAAGCAAAGGTAAGAACTTGGATAAGGAAGATTTGCCTGCTGTAAGTGAAGATGAGGTTTGAGACTGTCTAAAGAACCTCAAGGTACACAAGTCCGTGGAACCTGATGAGATCCATCCAGGAGTTCTGAGGGAACTGGCAGATTAAGTTGTTGAGCTGCTTTCCATCATATTTGAAAGGTCGTGGCAGTCGGGTGAGGTTCCCACTAATTGGAAAAGGGGAAACATAACTTCTATTTTCAAGAAGGGAAGAAAAGGGGTAACCAACATGGCTTCACCAAGCTTGGGGGTAACCAATCTTGCTTGACAAGCTTGGTGGCCTTTTATTATATGGTTACTCCATCAATGGATAAAGGAAGAGGAACTGATGTCATCTACTTGGACTTGTGCAAAGCTTTTGACACTGTCTCATATGACATCCTGGTTGCCAAACTTGAGAAAAATTGATCTGATGGATGGACCACTGACTGGATTAGGAACTGGCTGGATGGTCATGCTTGGAGTTGCAGTCAGCAGCTCAATGTCCAAGTGGATATTGGTGAAGAGTGTTGTTCCTCAGGGATTGATACTGGGACCAGTGCTATTTAATATCTTTGTAGGTGATGTGGACAGTTGGATTGAGTGCACCCTCAACAAGTTTGCAGATGACACCAAGCTGAGTGGTACAGTTGACACACTACAAGGAAGGGATGCTATGCAGAAGGACCTGGACAGGCTTGAGAGGTGGGCCCATGGCAAGCAACCTTATGAAGCAAGGCCAGCTGTAAGGTCCTGCACCTGGGTTGGGGCAATCCTAAGCACAAATACAGGCTGGATGGAAAATAGCTTGAAAGCAGCCCTAAGGAAAAGGGCTTTGGAAGTTGATGAGATTCTACATGAGCTGGTAATGTGCACTTGCAGCCCAGAAGGTTAACCGTGTCCTGGGTTGCATCAAGAGAAGTGTGATCAGCAGGTCGAGGGAGGTGATTCTGCCCACCTGCTCTTGTGAGACTCCACCTGGAGTATTGTGTCCAGTTCTGTAGCCCCCAACACAAGAAGCACTTGGAGCAGGCCACAGGTGAGGCTGTGAATGCCTACTCCTTGGAAGCACTAAAGGCCAGGCTGGATGGGGCTGTGAGCAACCTGGTCTAGAGAAAGATGTCCCTGCCTATAGCAGGGGGGTTGGGGCTAGACAATCTTAAAGGTCCTTTCCAATCCAAACCATTCTGTGATCTATGACTCTGTATCTGCTGATAACATTGGAACCTCCTTAGGAGGATACCTAGATGCATTAGTGAGGTTAGTAGAGTTTGTTCTGGGAAAGGGAAAATTTATAAGATCCCTTTTGCATTGTTCTAGTTCCTTTTTAAGCTGATAGAACTTTTTATTTTCAGCATTAGCACTAGTCACAGAACCTTGTCAGGTGGTCTTTAAGGGCATGATTAGAGCCAATATCCTCCCCATTTTGTAGTGTGTATTTGACTTTCTTTCTGTAGTTAGAAAAGTTGACTCAGTGTCGGGTTTATGATGGGGAGGACACTGTTCTGGAGGAGAAAGCAACTGAATTCTAATCTAAACACAAGTACAGGAACGGGGCAAGCAATTTAAAGGATCCCATCTGGAATTTCTCTGTTCTTATCTATGAAATTCTGTCAAACCATGATTAACTGTTGCACTTCCTGAACACAGCATGTGGCATAAACTGACTCCTCCCCTGAAAAAAGGAGCTTTACTGTTCACATATAGATTGAAGTATGACATACCCAGCCCTTGTCAGACATCTCTTGTGGCCAAAATACTGATTCTCCTTGTATTGGTTCTATGGGTCACAAAACAACAGAGTGCCAAATCATTTTCTCTTTTTCTCTAGTTTTTTCTTTAATTACCTTTCCAATTTCTCAGCATGCTTCCTAAATGACTTACAGCAGGCGCTGCTCTAGGGACCTTCTTTCTGTCCCTGTTTCCCTTCGAACTCCTACTCCCCATTTCTCCTAGTGCTAGAAAACAGAATGCACTGCACCATACAGTCCATTAACCCAGCCTCCAAGGCAGTACTCAATACTAATTGCTCTTGGTCTGTGCACAGATTTACTAGGTTTTATTGGGTCAGCCTCCCTAAACTACAGCACCTGCTATCCACCCCTTTCCCCCAGCTGTTAATGGATCTTGTCTTTTCAAACTTTCTCAGGTCTTCAGTCAGTTCCACAGTGAACCACCCCCTCCAACTCCCAGGGCAGCAGAAACAAGAGTGGAGTGCACCTTACTGTTTTGCAGCAGCAAGAATCCACCACAGGCAGCTTCAAATCCCAGGATTCGGCACCAAATTGTGAGAAATGCTCAAAATCAATCATTTTCAATCAGGCAAGTGTCCTCATGAAGCAACAATGCTTATTCATTATTGCAATCACGGGCGCACGTCCCCTTGTGGCAAGGGAGAAATTGTGCAGTTAGTGTGATCTGCACCACTGCACTCTCACTCCAATACAGGTAGCGTTATTTCTGGCCTTCACTGGCTGAGCATCTCAAGCTCACAGTCTTCCTGGCACTGTTGCTACCATACGTTTTCATGTAAGATCTATTACCAACCTGTTATTTTTTAAGCATGTTTTGTAATTCTCTATGAAGATAGGAGGGCAGTGTTTCCTAAAGGCATCACATTTGTTCTCTCCTCTGCTAGGCTCTCTTACTTTGCATATCTACCTTATCTTATACCAGTCTCAACTCCATGCTGGTCAGAATGCCACAATCTCTGCTTTACTCTGTTCAGCATCTTTCTTATGAAAAACAAAATATTTGTTATATTTTCCCTATCTTGTGGTAGTCTGAATCTCAGCAGCTTTTAGTGAAAAACAACTTGTATAGCTACTTCGCTAGAAGGTTGTAAGTTCAGTAAGGGCCTATACCTTGGCACAAAAGATGCTGGAAACTTCCACTGCAAAAACAGAGTCTGTCTATGTCTCACAGTTTGGCTGGGGGTTGTGGCAGCACCAGAGTTCCATTCGAACATCATTTGGTTACTGGTTGCAGGTTTGGCATGGAGAAGAAGATACAGTATGGTGAAGAAGCAGGTATTGGCTACTTACTCTCTTCTGTAGGCAGTAGAACAAGTAACTCATACTGCAGCTGTTTTTAAAACAACTTTGCCAATCCAGGGGTGGGTAATAGATCTAACCCATGTTCCTAAGATGGGTGGCCCAATCATATTATGGCTTGGGTTGGAAGGGACTCCAAGGACCATTAAGTTCCAACCTCCCTGCCACATGCAGGGCCACCAATACCCAGATCTGGTATTAGACCAAGTTGCTTAGGACCCTGTCTTACCTGGTCTTTAAAGCTTCCAGGGATGGAGAATCCACAGCCTCCCTGGTTTGCCTGTTCCAGCACCTCACCACTTTCTCTGTGAAGAACTTCCCCCAAAATCTAATCTAAATCATCCTTCCTTGAGCTTAAAACCTTGTCCTATCACTATCTACCCAAGTAAAAAGTTGATTCCCCTCCTTTTTATAATTCCCTTTTAAATACTGGAAGGCTGATGTAAGGTATCCTCACAGTCTCCTCTTTTTCAGGATCCTCTTCTGATGGAGTCCAGGACACCATTGGCTTTCCAAGATGCAAGAACACACTGGTAGCTCATATTCTGTTTTTCATCCATTGGGACCTCCAAACACAAACAGTGGTGAGCAGAGTTGCCAGCCTTAGTCAGAGAGGCCACCTGTCCATTAAAGGAAGAATTGAAAAAGATACTTGGTCCAGTAATGTGTTACAGAAAGACACCCAAGGAAACAGTGGTCACTCATCCAGAGAAGAGACCCTTACAGGAGAGAAAATATTCTATTCCAGAGGATGTCTGGTAAAAAAGGATGGATCCAGCAGAAGGAACCCAAGTAGGTGGTGAGTCACTGCAAACCATCCCTAGACCGAAATAACATGGTTTGAAGAAAGGGATGAACAAAGCAGTCAGTGGGCTGAGCTATGAGCCATGGGGATGGTTATAAGTAAGGAGCTGTGTGACAGCACATTGAACATCTGCACAGATAGTTGGGTGCTCTACTGAGGACCCACACTCTGGATAGCACAGTGGGCCACTCAGGGTTGAACAATCCATGCCTGACCTATCTGGGGCAAAGATATGTGAGTTGATATACGGAATGTGGTAAGACGCAGGGCCGTATGAGCATGCCACATCTCTAGATAGCAACCCTTGCAGCCACCAGGCTGATGAAGCTGACATGTAGGCTGAAGTTAGATGGCTGGAAAATGTGTCAGCCCACTGACATGGGGAGACATCGCCCACTGGCTAAGTCAAAAACTACAAATGCAGACAAAAGACCATGTGGCAGTGGCTAAAGCATTAGGACTGCCCATAGTGAATATTGTCCAAGTTGAGTTGCTGGATATTGTCCAAGGATGTCAGGAATAAAAAGAAAAAAAAGTTCTGAAAAAAAAGATTTCTGAACAACTTCTTTCACATTTTCCTTTTTTAAGCTTCCAGACTTCACTGTTTCCAATTTTCCTCTTCCTGTTTTAGGAAGGACTGAGCACTTGTTTTTGTTTGAGATGTTTCCTAGCCATCATAATTTTTCAAGATGGAGCTTTGAACAAATTGTATAGAGCTTGATGTGAAGGAAGCTTGCAATTTGTCTGCTTTGGGACCAGCCCAACCCCTTATTTCCCCGGTCTTAAGAGCCATTTTTGTCAGGACAGTATTGTCTCTACAGCCTCAGTGCTTTTTTCTTGTATCCCAGCTCCATCCTTTGTCTTTCTTTAATCTCTGCAGCTCTTGGTGCTTCTGTGTGACCCAGACTCTCTGCTTCACTTTTTCCACTTTACGCTCCTTTCTCCTGGGTTAGCATCTTTCCACACTCACTCATTACACATTTACCTCTTGCACATCCTTTTGAATGGAGAATTGAAAATGGGGGGGAAAAAAGGGGAAACAGAAAGGCTAATCTAAATTTGCACATTTAGAAAGATAAGTATTGGGCATTTATTTAGTTCACAATATGACCATCATGCTCTTCTTTCCCTGTTTCTTTTCATCCTTGTTATCTTGTAAAGATTAAATGCTGTGGGTCAGATATTTCAAAGACACATATGAGTCATGTGCAGTAATGAGGTGCTTTTCTGGTGGTTTTATGGGACCTTGATGAAGTAGAAGGAAGGCTGTAGAGGAAGGAAGCAAACTACTGTTTCAACTGATTAATCAAATGCCATTCTATAAGAGGTTAACCTCCGTCTTCATATTGCTTTACTATCAGTGACAGGCAGAAAAAGGAAGTACAGAGACAAAGGTATTTTATAATGCATATTTGTTTTTGTTTTTTTTTTGAAAGAAACTTGGTATACTGCACACTGCATAGTCGTTGCTGAGGAATCATCAAGTGGAGGAGAAACAACTGGTTGCATACAGGCGCAACTCATGTTCTGGAGGACACTATCAGTGTTCCCAAGAAGACACAGGGGAGATGCTCACATGTAACTCTGGTTGCCCTCTGCATCTTTTGATCTCTTTAACTTGGCCAACAGATGATACAAGCATCATTCAACTTTTGAAAGACAGTTTCTGTCCATTTGGTGTCCTTTGCAGTTCCAGTGAATATCCTTGTCTGGACACCAGCTGCCACTCATCTACACCACTACCAAGCCTAAGCTTGTTGGCTTGCTGCTGTTCAGAGAAGCTAATGACAGCCACTTCCTAAGAGCTACTCATTTCTACAGGGCTCCCAGTACTCACAATGCTTGCTTGGTTGGTGTTAACTATTTTTTATAGTACACTACACTTGGGGAAAAAAAAAAAAGCAACACTGTTCTAGAGCGTAGAAGTAATGAGTTTTCTTCCATCTATTGACAATACAATTCTTGGTGCTTATCTTTACTGTAGCTCACAGAGTTAAGTGTGCATGCACGTATGCACCTATTAACTACTATCTTTTTCTTTTGTCTTTTGGAAACTGATTTCATTTCCCACAAGTGAATAAGTAATATGTCATGTTTCTCACTTAATATACTTGTGCCCCTGAGATACAGTGTGTAGGATAGCTGACTCTTCCCTAGAGACAATTATTCTGTATGGATAAATGCATAATTCTCCCAGGCTAAATACTGCAGGCTGAAAAATTCACAACCATTGTTCTCAGTTATAGGAAAAATCATGTTTATTCAAAATCACTTGGACTTACTATATGATTTTGATTAGTATGCTGAAATGAAAAATATGTTTTGTGTGATCAGCGAAATAATATTTTTGATTGTTTAACCTTTTCATGCATCAATGAACTGAAGTAGCTGCTAATGTAATTTGGTGGTGTCAGAAATCAATTACTCTGCTGTGAGAGGTTTTATTTTTACGTTAACTTCAGAAATAACAAGATTTGGGCTTTTCTTGAAGGAAAGATAAATACACTGTAATAACAAAAACCTCAGGCTGTATTTCTGTGTCAGCTTCAGACAATTTTCTTCAGGCTTCAGCAATGTAGCTCATGAGTTCTCAGGTAATTTTTTCTCTTTCTTTCCATTTTCTACTCCTGAACGTAGTTGGAGGCCCATCTAGCATGAAGAAAATCATATCCTGCATGGGGTCCTCTGCACAGGCTGCAGTTCTGGCCTGGAGTCTGCTTCTTCAGGGCTTCTGCATGGGATGTGGATTCCTTCAGGCTACATCCACCTGCTGCCCTGGGGACTACTCTATGTGCCATGTGCAAATCTGTCCATGGGCTGTTGGGCCATAGCCTTCTTCGGATTGGGTATGTCCTGGGCTGCAGGAAACTGCTACTCTGCACCTGAAGTACCTCCTGCCCTACTTCTGCACTGACCTTGAGGCTACTTTCACTCCTCTGACTCAAAACTATTTGAGAGAGTATTTGCTGGTCTCATCTTTGTCCTGTGAGTGCACTGGAGACAACTAGAATGTGTCCACAGCTGGCATGGGTCAGATCCTCCAGCGCCATTGCCACTGAATCTTTGCCATGTGCTAGCTGCTGAATGTGCATGCAAACAGTGATAAGACATCTAATAGCACAGAAGACTCCAGTTTATTATCTAATCTCTGAGGAAGTCATTTTAGCATATTATCAAATACAGGTCTCAGTTACTTGCAATGGAGATTTCATTACCATTCTGAATTAGAGAAGAGCTATCATGCCTTCACAGGCTTTCTGCACTTTCACAGTTGCTACCTTTTCAGAGAACAAGGATTTTTGGAGATGCTGTGAAGCCAGTCATTGTGAAAGATGAGTCTTTGGAGCCAAGAGATTATGACTGTTGTGTAAAGCCTTGTGTCATGTTAAAGGACAACATCTAAGGAATACCCAATTTGGTGCTATAAGTTAGCTGCATTCAATATATGAACTATCACGATTACAGATTCACAAACAGTACATTGTCTGATTCATCTAGAAGCATTCAGTTCACATGACTGAATCAAGAAAGGAATTTGGCCATGCCCAATCAGAGTTCTGACTGGGCATGGCTAAATTCCTTAATGGAGGAGATTGTGGTAGGTCACTGAATACTATACAGATTTCTAAGTTTCCCTGATAGGTTCTACTACCCCACTAGAGTAGGTAATCCTGCCTCGTGTTGCTGCAATATCCATGCATCAGGTGCACATGCCTTTAGCATGGCAGATGCTATTTTTCTATGCGGGGTGTAGAAATGTCTGTGAATATGTGGGTGACTGCTGCTGGTCAGCGTTATATATCCCAAGCTATGGGATGCAAGAAGATGACTTCAAACTCCCAGGCTGTAACCAGCCTCTTCCATTCAAGATGTGCAGATCTTCCAGGATACCGCTGTAACTTACACTCACCTGAAAGCCCAGATGCTACTAACATGATCCTAAAAAGGTGGGAGAACACTGTTTTGAAGAGATTTTGAAGGTCTGTGTGATACACAGCAACACCAAGGCATTGTTCACGTGGGATTCCTATTTGTAGCAAATCAATCTAGTCATCACTAGCAAGAATACTGTCATTCATTAGCCCTGCTGAGTAGAACCTGGGTGTCCCAGTGGATGAAAAGCTGAACGTGAACCAACAGTGTGAGCTTGCAGCTTGGAAGGTCAATGGTATCCTGGGTCTCATCAGAAGAAGGGTGGCCAGCAGGGCGAGGGAGGTAATTATCCCTCACTATTCTGCCCTCATGAGGCCCCATTTGGAGTACTGTGTCCAGATCTGAGGCCCTCCAGTACAGAAAGGATGTAAGATGTGGAGTTTTTGAAGAAAGTCCGGAGGAGGTCCATTTAAATACTGCTTCTCCCAAGATCAAGATTGGTGCCTCCTCAGGAGTAGGAAATCAAGCAAAAGTCACAGAAGACCCCTATGGAATAAGCAAGGAATTAATGGATAAGCTCAAATCCATGAAATGTGGAAAAAGTGCCCATTTTTCCACTATGTCCACTTGGGAAGAATTCAGGAATGTTGTCAAGGCCTGCAGGAATGAAATGAGGAAGGCTAAGGCCCCCTTGAAATTAAATCTGGCAAATGAAGTCAAGGATAACAAGAAAGGGTTTTTTAAGTAGTAAAAGAAATTGTAGGAGAAATTTAGATCTGCTACTGAAGGAGGTAGATGCCCTGGTAACAGGGGACGCTGAGAAGGTGGAGATACTGAATACCTTCTTCGTTGAGTCTACTAAGACTGGTGCTGAAGAATCCCATACTATGGAGGTAAGAGACAAAGTCTGCGGAATTGAAGTCTTCCTCTTGGTTGAGGAGGATCTGATCAGAGAGCATCTAGCTAAAATCAACACACACACATATTCATGCGCCCTCATAGCAAGCACCCACAAATCTGTGGATGCTGGCAGAAACATCTGCCAAACCACTCTCTACGATCTTTGAAAGGTCTTGGAGAATGAGAGAAGTGCCTGAAGCCAGTGTGACCCCCATCTTCACATAGGGCAAGAAGGAGGACCTAGGAAACTATGGACCAGTCAGTGTCACTTCTGACCCAGAAAATATGACGCAACAACTTCTTCTAGATGCCATCTCTGAGCAGTTAGAAAAGAACAAGATTATCAGGAGTAATAAATATAGATTCACCAAAGGGAAATCATGCTCAACTAATGTGGTAGCCTTCTATGATGTCATCACCACCTGGTAGATGAGGGGTCAGCACTGGATTTTGTGTACCTTGACTTCAGCAAGGCTTTTGACAGTCACATACAACATCCTACTAATGAAGTTTATAAAGTGTGGGATAGAGGAGTGGACAGTGAGGTAGACTGAGAACTGGCTGACTGGCAAAGCTCACAGGGTTCTGGACAGCAGCACAGAATCTAGATGGAGGCCTCTAACTAGCAGTGTTTCTAAGGGGTTGGTACTGGGGCTGGGCTTGTTCAACATCTTCATCAGTGACCTGGATGAAGGGATAGAGTGCAGCTTCAGCGAATTTACTGATGATATCAACCTGGGAGGAGCAGCTAACATATTAGAAAGCTGTAGCACCATTCAACAAGACCTGGACAGGCTGGAGAGTAGGATGGAGTGAAACCTTTAGACGTTCAACAAGAGCAAGTGTGGAGTATCAGTACAGGTTAGGGGCTGACCTAGGGAAGGACCTAGGTTGTCTGGTGGACATCAGGTTGACCACAAGCCAGCAGTGTGCCCCTGTGGCCAAGAAGATTAGTGGTATCCTGGAGTGCATCAAAAAGAGTGCAGCCCAGCAGGTCAAGGAAGGTGGTCTTTCTCCTCTACTCTGCCCTGGTGAGGCCGCAGCTAGAGTCCAGTTCTCAGACCATTAGTTAAAAAAACACAGGGAACTCCTAGAAAGAGTACAGTGAAGGGCCACAAAGATGGCTAGGGGCCTGGAGCTTCTCATGTATGAGGAAAGGCTGAGAGGCCTGGGGCTGTTCAGTCTGGAGGACAGAAGACTGAGAGGGGATCTCACAATTATTTATAAATATCTAAAGTGCAGGAGTCAAAGGGATGAAGCCAGGCTCTTTTCAGAGGTGTACAAAAACTGGAACACAGGAAGTTCTATAAAAAGTGAGAAATAACTTCTTTACAGTAAGAAAGAGTGACAGAGCACTGGAACAGAGCTGTCCAGGGGAGATGTATAATCTCCTGCTCTGATGATATTTAGGGACAACCTGGATGCTTTCCCATGCAACCTACTGTAGGGGATATGCTTTAGCAGGGGGTTAGACTAAATGATCCTCAGAAGTCCCCTCCAGCTCCTACGATTCTGTGATCATTATCTCAAGCATGGGCTTTCACCGGTCATATTTGAAATGGTGTTTTCCTGCCAATATCCGAAAGCTGTTATCAGACTTCATTTCTCCAGTCTGCAGATCTTCACATATTTATATTTCTCAATTTAGACTTTTCCATTGACAAAGCCATATTGTAGCACTCGCCTGAACAGCATAAGAATTCACATACATGAGTTCTGCATCACACTGAGCTTATACAACATCAACTTTTAATTCTTGTGCTTAATCACCTCTTTCTCACTCTTCTTTAGTGGGTTCCTCAGCCAATTGAATTTCATCTGATACTCCCAGTGTTTAGGCATAGCATATTCTAACTGGAACTTTCTGTGTAATTCCTTCTGGAGGTGCAGTCCCTTTTAGTATTATATCTAACAATTACATGCACCTCTATTTTGAACAGCTTGCTCTTGGCATGTTTTCTCAACTTGTTTAATTGCATGGACTAATGGTAAAAGACATTTTTTCCACTCAGAATATCACTGTTTTGCCTCTTTAAAACTGTCACTCATGGAGGTGTGCCAGTTTGTATTGTAGCTGCTGAAGCACTAATATTTGGCACTGCCGCCATTAACAGACTTGAGATGGCATTTAAGTGCTGATAATCAATTGTTAATCACCATCATCCCTCCTGTTTGCAGACTTGGGGAATTATATCAGGGATATGTTCTAGAGATAATCTGCCATTTTTCTGAATGTGCACTTACTTCAGAAATACTAGTCCATGCTGCATCAGAAAGTGGATACAACAGGACACTAGTAGCTTCTGACTCATGGAATAGTAGACCTGTATGAAGTACACTATTTGATTTTGATTTTTATTAAGCTTGGTATTTGCACCAAAAGATAACACAGCATCATTTGGCAAATGCTATTTAAGACATCAAAACCTGGTATACTTTCACAGTGGTGTGTTAATTGCAAAGGAAGAAGAGGTAATATGTTTTTCACTGTAAATCAACCATAAATTAACTAATGCAGTCTGGTGCACAGTGCTAGTTCCCATAACTGCAGTAATTTTAACTCAGTCTCCCAGGTTTTATGCCTAGGTTATTAGCATCCTTTTGTACAATTATTGATATTTGTTCTCCAATATCAATTAGAAATTATATTAGTTGTTTCTTGGGACCAACTGGAATTTAAATGTTAGAGCTGTTTTCATCAAGCCATTGTTAAGTATCTACCTGCTAGATAGACAGGTCCAATTGCAATCAGGCACTATAAGTTTTTGGATCTGTGTCCTGCAGATGAAGGGGGGAAAAAAAAGGCAATTTCTTTCCCTAGGAGCTGGCACCAGAGGAGTCAGAGCATTTGGAGTGTTTCCTTTCTGAAATGCTTGAATCAGGCTCCAAACCACAGCAATGGGCTGTCTCTGAATTGCAGCTCTAGGAATTCCTAGTGACAGTGCTTGTTTCCTTAGCTTCCTTCTCCAGTGCAGACCTCAGGAAATTTTAGCTCTTGAGAGTCATTTTGATATGGTTGCCTAATTCCCATTCTTTATTGGATGTGGGGGGGAACATTACTACCAAGGTTGAGGAAGAGATTGAGGTAGAATCATAGAATAGAATCACTCAGGTTGGAAAAGATCATTGAGTCCAACCACAACCTGACCGTACTACCCTAACTCTAACAACTAAATCATGTCCCTGAGTACCACGTACAGACGGTTTTTAAACACATCCAGGAATAGTGACTCAACCACCTGCCTGGGCAGCCCATTCCAGTGCTTAACAGCCCTTTCTGCATAAAAGTTTGTCCTGATATTCAACCTAAACTTACCCCACATATGCATGTTCCGTGGAACCCCACAGATGTGACAATGGGGTCTGGCTTCTGGGGTGCTTCTCAAAGGAAACCAGTGCACGGTGTCAGGAGTGGAGGAGGAAGCAACTGATCGTGCCACTAATGCTGCCGTTCTGCGTCTCTCCCCAGGTATCCCACACCTTCCTCTTCCCAGCCCCGCTCAGCTCCTTTGCAGGCTGCTGACATTGCTGAGGCAGTCACTTTGAGGTACTCAATGCCACCTTTTCTTCTGTGTGTAGTTATCCTCAGGGTACTCAGCTTCCTGAGCTTGAAGATGGGAATGGGGGAAGAGAATAAAGATCCTGCAGTTCAGAAGGAAACAGTTAGTGACCTGCTACATCATGTAGACTATCACAAATCTATGGGGTCAGGTGGGTTCCAAGAAAAGGTACTAACAGAACCGGTGGAAGTGCTCACCAAGCCACCTTCCATCATGTACCTGCTCAACTGGAGAGGTCTCAGACAGCTGGAGAATTGCCACTGTCACATCATTATACAAGAAGGTTCCACAGGAGGATCTACAGGTCTCTCAGCCTAAGTATTGCAGAAGGTTATGGAGCAGATAATCTTGAGTGCAATCAAACATTATATACAAGAAAACCAGGGGATCAGACCTAGCTAGCATGAGTTTATGATCATACTATCTGCTCTGTTTGATGAGTTGCCTATTGGAAAATGGAGCCACCAATTTTACTGGGGAAATAAAAAACAAAAAACAACCACATTTATGATTTTTTTCCCTTGCAACTCACATACTCATTCCTGTACAGTCAAGGTAGGCTTTCCATCCAACTTCCCATATCCTGTCCATGATCACACAGGTAAAACCACAGGATGATACATATAAATATGTACCCACTATATCCACTCTCCCTTGCAAAGGAACCAGCACAAGCCATTGAACCATTTTCTCCACAGCTGAGATACAGAAGCATAGGAGGAAGAGAGACAATCTCCATACTGACGAAGTAGGCTAGCCACTTCATCCACCACTGCTCTTTCCAGTTCATTCCTGCCAGGGAATAGAAGTAGAAGCAACTGCAGGGCCCATTGCAGGAGTGGGAGCAGCCACAGGGCTCACTGAAAGGACTGTAGTGACAACAAGGCTCATCACAGTGTTTAGAGTAGCCACAGGACCCATAACAGGAGAGCAACCACAGGGCTCATTATGAGAGTTGGAGTGACAGCAGAATCTGTCACAATGCTTGCAGCAACTGCTGTTGATTGAACCTGTTAATTGAACTGTAGCCGCTGCAGGATCTATCACAGGAGCTGGGGAGTCAATTGCATTGTCATCAGATCAAGAGATATTGCCTTCCCCTTGAAAATGCTGAATAGTGTTGAACAGAGCTCAGGAGCCAAACATAGGTCAGGCCCCAGCTGCTGCAATGATTTGTGCCTCTTTGGGATTGCCAAGATGACAACTGTCCAAATATTCTATTAGATTTTCAGTATTCTGCAGTTGTTCAGAGGTGAAGTTCAAAACCTCTAGGGGTGAGTACCACCCTAAGTACCAGCCCATGCCATTCCACAGTCCCTGCCACTCAGAACTATCCCTCCTCAGTGCAGATTTCTGGGCAATATTCTTAAGTAATAGTTCCTTCTTAAACATAATCTAAAACACATTCACAACTAGCATGGTTTTATTTTTGTTATTGGTATTCCACATCATAACATCATGTAGTATTCATGTTCCATTTTTGTAGTATGTCTATGTTTCTGAATACATGGTTCCCAGAAGAGAATAACTACACCTCCAAGAAGATTTTCACTGTTCCATATCTGTTTTCGATTCAAAGGGAAAGATAAAGCTGCTCCCAAGTCATGAGACTGTCCTCTTCTTTCACTGCTTTTCTCTGCAGTGTTTACTTCCTAAACATCTCACTTTCAGCATTAGAGCTAAGTCTTCAGTTTTGAATGTTCTAATTTTATTTATAAGCTTCAGTTCCAATTATATTATATTATATTTTTATCTGGCATTCCACCATGATATTTAGTAAATATCTTTTCTCTGTTAGCTCATTCATGTTGTTTTGTTTTTGGACTCAGCATTCCTCTCTTGCAGCAGAACAAGGGGAGTTCAAGGCAGAAGCATCCCAGAAGAAGGGATGTTAGGCAGGCTGGTCACAAAACTCACCCAGCAAAACCACCCTCACTGCCAAGTAAGACATCCAGACAACACAGCTCTGCATCACCCTGTCAGGAGCATAGGTGGGCCACCAGCAATTCCCAGCCCTCACAGATGCCAGCAGCTCCACACCCCAAGGCAGCCAGTCCCATAACTCCTCCCACCTGCCCACACCTACTCTGGTGGGATTGGCTGCCAGAACCAGCCTGCACCTCCAGCTCTCTCAGTGGTCCATTGAACAGGAAGTCTCTATGCTTGCATGCGCAGGGAGCTGCCATTTTGTATCAGCCGCCATTTCGTGGCAGGGACCATGCACTGCAGTCTCAGTACACTGCTAGGCTAACTTATGAAGTACTCAGGAAGATATGTAAGATATACCTGCAAGATAATGCAGAGGAGATTGCAGCAACATTTATGAGGAACAGAGCTCACGTGGCTCAGATGAGCAGAACTGCAGCAGGCATGATCTCCAGCTCCCAGTGCTGCCTTCCCTGCCACTGGCTGCCAGCAAGAGAGGCCGTCCAACAGCAAGGAACACTCCAAGTGCTCAGCACCCTCCTCCTGCAGCACACCAAGGCCTCTGACTTGCTCTATGGACTGGGCTGCTGGCAGCACGAGCTTAGCTCAGGAGGAGATGTTCCTCAGTCCCGCAAGATGCTCCCACCAGCCCCACCACCACGGCAGGACGACCCACAACTCCTCCCTCCTGCCCACACCTACTCTGGTGGGATTGGCTCCCAGAACCACCCCGCAACTCCAGCTCTCCCAGTGGTCCACCGAACAGGAAGTCCATCCCCTTTTTGTGCACTGGGAGTCACCATTTTGTGTCAGCCACCATTTCATGGCTGTTTGCGCAGTGCCCTCTGATTGGCTGTGCACAGTGACAGCCACGTGTCCTTTGCTTGCCCTCTGATT